TATTTAAGCTCTATGCAAAGTTTGGGACTTCACATATTTTTGACAATGGAAAGTGACCCGCGTAGCTTTAGCGTAATGAGAGCGAAAAAGACCCCCTCGCATAGACGAACTCTCTCTGATAAGATTCTCTCGATTCACTTGCTTAATCCTTTCCATGCTTTAGCTCCCGACTTTCGTTATTGCCAGGTGATGTTCTAGTATCACACACGCGCTTGGCGACCATCAACTAATTCGCACAGACGCTCACCTAAAGCGTTTTAATCCATGTGGTTTCAGATTTTGTTCACCACCAAAATGGCATGGCCTGACTACGAATTTGGTAAACCTACTTTCACTTGATCTTCAACCTTGCGAAACCTACCAAGTCAGTCTATAGAAGGTCAAATATACGCCAATTGTGATGTCACTACTGTGTATATATGATGTCCCCTACATGGGCCGCGTGATAGATGCGCTGGACCAACACGGGAGCCAAATCAGGGTACGGTCAGCGTTATTTGGGTTGCGCTCCCATAATAAATGCCGAACATAGGAGAAGGCGCGGTGACTTCGGTCGCGTCAACCATTTGCGCTCGACTCCGCTCCCGGTCTTCTTGATTTTGTCTTGACCTCGGGCACAGGGGATTGAGGGAAGAGAGAGTGCGGTAGACGCCGCGCAAGTCATCGTCTCTGCAACATCCTGTTGTATACAATCGTCGAATTCGACAGCCGCACTGTCGTGTGATGGAAGTGTAGTGGCACGCGGGTCACCATTGTGACAGTTGGGATCCGAGCCGTTGCAGCCATCATTTTGTTGTGGTAGAATCATTGTTAGGTGTTTGTTGTGGACTAAGAAGCGTGGTGTTACGCCTAATTGCGGGTTTTCGCCCTGTCAGCCACCTACGTTTTCTCTTACCTCCGGTATCCTTGACTCGATCATGACACCGTGTCCGAGTGGAAGAGGAAGATGGAGTACTGCAGATGCAGCCTTAGTCTACTATCATTATAATCTAATCCACGTGCAAGTCATCGCGCTTGCTTCCCACCTGCTGTGAAGCATGCGGTAGATATCGTCGAAACTCGATAGTCGAACTGTCGTCTTCACTGTGCGCTACAGACTTCGCAGTTATATTTTTGTTGCGTTTCAGAGAGAACTCGTAACATCTACGCAATCGCCCATACAGATTTGTTTTTTGCTCGCCAATCGTATTTGATTTATAAGAGGAGAGCAACATGCGATCAATTCTCATTCGTTTCACTAAGGGCTATTTTTTGCTTTCCATCCTTTGAAGCTCCTTGTTCTATGTCCACAGAAGGTTTTGGAACAATGGGACACTGGATACGTTAAGTTAATGCTACCGCTGGTGCCATGGTACAAAGTCAGTGGGTGGCAACTGCATCTTCTCATAGTTATTGCTTCAAGTCATGTGACACCTCCACCAATTGTTTCTTGATCGTTTGTATTTTGAAGAGGCGGGGTATCGTATACTTCGTATTGATAAAAGTCCCCATAGAGGCGTGCAGCGTGCTTTAAAAAAAACGGCATATTGCTAACCGCTGTAACAAAGAATTGCGGTTTTCTCCCTCACTACTCCAACGTCCTCCATACTGCAGTACAGCCAAAGCCCAATCTTATGCAATTTTAACCAAAGTTTTACAACGCGTTTTAAATGAAGACTGATTACTTGAGTGTAATTGTACTACTTATTATCTTGGAGTACAATGCAAAAAAAATTTCAGACACACCAAGATGCAGGATTTTGCAGGAATGTCTTTTCGGCCTCTTGGAAGAATCCACCCAACAAGAAAAGAACTACATAAGTAGTGCATATATAATATAGTTGAAGCACTGCTTTTCCGATATAAACTTGAACAAGGCCATGGTGATGCCCAGTTTTATCAATAGGGGATTTATCGCAAATATAAACTCGTCCATTATTCATTCCAACAAATTAAACTAATCAGACGTAACCCTGCTTCCCACACTACCAAAAATACTTTCGCGTTCGTAGATTAGCCGAGAAACGGAAATGTAAAGAATAAACACGTGCTCTCATTTGAAGTGCATATTCTATTTACAAGCATGCCCTAAATGAAACTATTGACACAATTTGTGGACATGTGGCTGAAACATGTCTGGAACTAGGGCAACTGCTGGAACTACTACGGATATACACGAAGAGTGTGAAGTTCCCATTTAACCGACGTTTCTATCGACGGTGTAGCTATAGGCAGCCCATTATGGTCAGTATTAGCGGATATCTCGAAAGAAAATTAGCCAAAACCTTACATGAAACCAAATTCCATAGACGACGTGCGAAAGAAGATGGCTGTTATAAATACAAATAGAAGACGTGATTACAAAAAAATAATAGATACTTTTATATTTGAATTTTTATAGGCACCGAAAATCGATAGGAAAAAAATGCAGTCTACTTATATAGTTAGCCTTCATCGGGTGAGGCTTTTTCAGGAGGCCTCGACTATGATTGTATAAAAGCTGGGCATGCCGATGTGTCTGACGTATCTTGGGAGTATGCTCTAAGATAAGAAAATTTACAATTCTGGTTGACATTGCATGTGATTAGTCATTGAGTGTATATAATACTTTCGGCAAACAAGCGTATTGACGAACGTGCTTTTGCAAAAACATAGTTGATCTATTATTTACTCAGGGCAAAGGCGACGAAGTACGCAAAATGTATTGACGTCATAGAAATTCGCGACCTCTTATCCAACTGCGTACGGCCTAGTTACCGACCAATCACTGACCAATTAAATATCAACCTAAAAAGATAAAACGTGTATTTACATTCCCAATTACATATAAACTCACACGGTTTGGTGTGATGTACGTAGGTAGAATGTCCTTAGTTGATCTAACTGGAATAGCCGTTTTAGTTCTTATGAAAAACAATTTAGAAGCTGTATATGTTCCTTCAATCGTCCATGGAAGTCGTCGCTTGGTCACGTTCGATGCACCTTTGAAAAGGAGGAGGATACTCACACACGTTTTGGCTCGGATATTTTGACAGGACTTTTTTGTCTAGGGTGGTGATACTTATCGATGAATTTGTCCGGATACCCGTTTACAAAAATAGCTATTCGGAAAATGATCCCGTCATCGACCGTATCGGCGGGACAGATTTTAGTGACTTCATTGAACAAGCACAAAACCAAATTTGTGTCTGATTGATTCTATTTGTTGTGCTGACCGCTGGGCGAGTTAATGTTGCGATAAATTCCTCATTGGCACAATTGGTCGTCGCCATTGCCTTGTTCAAGTTCATTCCGGAAAGACAGTGTTTCAACTATATTTTAGCGTTTACAACTCGTTATTTTGGCTCATCTCGTTTTGTCAATCATCTCTAGCCACAGTGTCTACCTGGGCGGTGTAGAACCTAGTCTTCGCAAGGTCGTTTGGCGCCTTCTGCTCAACGTGTATCCTCCAGAAATGACTGGTCGCGAGAGGATCGCTTTGATGGCCGGTAAAATTGCGAAATACAAATCTATGAAAGAGGCATGGAAAAAAACTTACAAAGAGGGTCGACTCACCCAGGCGCAAATTCAAGCAATCTCGCTCGCCAGCGTCGATGTTGTCCGTACGGATCGCAGTGAGTTCGGGTTCGACAGAGTCTGATCGTTTTCAGCTGACGTTTTTCTACATTTTTGCCCAAAATCCACCCTTTTGTTGAACTTTTTT